CTTCTGAAGATGCAAGCCACTCGTGCTTGCGAAACGTCAAGAAGAAATTCTACCGAACGACGGCCTAAAAACCCATTAGTTTCAAGGAATGGCCTTGAAAGTGAATCTCTTTTGATAAAGAAAATGTAAGTTTATAGGCTTCTTTTAAGAAACATAAAAAGATCCAGGACACTTTCTCCAGTGTAAAGAATAAAATTACTCCTGGAGCAGGATATTTAACAACAGAAAGCCAAGGAAACTATAATGGGAAAAACGATATCATCAAGTAAAAGCGAGCAAAAGAATACAGTAAAGTTGAAAGAAAGTATTTGGTTGATACGTAAAGGGACATGAATCCCATGAGACAAAAAGATGGAGAAAACAAAAACGCGGACTTGCTGAAGGAGGAATTGAGAAACGGTCCCTAGTAAAATATTGCAGAAAGAAGATTGTCATAAAGAAATTGTCTACAGCAGAAACATAAAGTTCAAAAAAGATGATAATAAATGAATTGTCTAATTTTTTACGAAAGAGGGCTCCATTTCGAATTTTCTCACTTTCAAAATTAAAGTTTACAGAATTAGGGTAAACTGTAATGTGACTGGCATTTTAAGAACATTTTTGAAAGCGAAATCCATAACAAACCTCAAGCCATTTTAACTAGATGTGTTCTCGTTTTTTGTACCTACGGATTCTAATTTTTCTTTCTCTTTTTCGAAGTATTGAAACAGTATTTTCGTACATAAAAGTAAGTTAGTTAATTCGACAGCTTTATTTGAGCTTTATTTCATATTGAGCCGAATATTTGATATTTGCAATATTAACTGATTTTGTACTGTTTTCGGGCAAAGTATCAATTTTCAACTTGACATTCTTCAAATCATTGGGCAGTTTTGTAGACTTCTTAATTATATTTTGATCGGTTACTACTTTAGATTGCTGCTTTACCATTTTAAATAGGTCACTTTCTCGTTTTTTTGTCGTTGCCATGTCCTCTCTTTCTTTCGATGTTGTTCGCTGATCTTCTTTTCCTTTTTATCTGCCTGTTGCTTTTTATTATTCTTTGTAAAGACCCTTTGGTCTGTTTACTTCGTCTGGTCAATATTGTTGATTCTCCTTTGATATGGATGTCCAACTATCCTTCCATCTTTTTGGTGGTCCGATGCGTCTTTT